CGATGCCGGCGAAACGTCTGGGAATGTACCACGTCCATGGTCCGACTCTGGAAATAATTATGCATACAATAGACTCAGGTGCGTTTCTATCAGTCTTCCTACCATTATGAACAAGTTGCGAAAATAAGGTCAAACAACTTCTATAAGATTTTTTAATTTACCTGATTCCTGTCACCAATAAAATTGCAGGGTCATATGAATTAAAATGCCTGTCAATTTCAACTACTTTTTTACTGTGTTTTTTTTAGTAAATATACATTTGATGAGCATCTAGTATATGAAATTCGAGTGTATCATGATATTATTTATGAGTAAAAGCATATCGTTAACCTTTTATCTTGTCTATGAGTGCACCAACTTCGAATAATGTCATACGCTAGATTATGATGTCGCTATCTTTATTGCTATCATTTGTTATTTTGCGATAGCTTACTTGCGTATTCTGATTACGCAGGGCAATATGTAAATCCAAATAAATAATATTGGACTAATGCTTTTAAGCTAGTCTAGCTCTCGAGAAATTATCTAAGATGACCAAGATTGTATTCTCACCGTAGTACTCAATATTTTTTGCAATTATAAAAATATTTACACACTAAATCATTAACTAGCAAAGGCAATTACGTTAAAGTAAAGATCATTCTTTAAAGTTAGATTTAGTTCTTGCGATAAATAAGCTATTGATATGCTATTTTTAAAAGATTTATCGCCAAAATTTAGATTACATACCGATAAATGAAGTCAGTAATCTCATAATAGCATAAGTTACTTAAGTATCTTGCTGTGAAACAGCACTTAACTAAACTCTTATTAAAAGAAAGGCCTAGAAGAGTATACTTAAAGCCAGCAAATAGTGATCAACCAATGCTTTAGAAGTTAAACCTCGAATATGGATTCAGAGATAAGTTATGCAAGTAATAATATAGCTGAGAAAAAAGCGATTCGTCAGTCCTATTTTCCAGCATAATCTTGGTAAATGATTCAAAGTATGATAAAAATAAAGATATTTTATTGAGAATACTGTTACCCTTAGTCGAAGCAAACTAATTACTGTTAAATAAGCCAATACTTCTAAAAATAAAAATTGCATAGTATGTTATAGTAAAAGGTAGACAGAAGCAACCATTTTTTCAAATTAGTAGGTAGGAGAGTTGAGAGTTTCAAATAATGATGGCATTGTCTCTATAGGCCTGTTACAACAAATTCAATCAGACTAACCTTGAGCCAAATGAAGCGAGTGGCTATGCGCCGCTCCTCTAGCTCGAGGATATGTCGTGAAATCGGGCTGACAATACAAGCGGCCACGGGCAAATTGTGTTTCCTGTAATTTTGGTACCGGTTTCGCTGATGCTGTTGTTTTTGGTATTGACCTAACGTAGGCAAACCAGAATTCGCCGTATCTCCAACCAAGCGTAAAGAAGGTGACCTAGCGTCATTATGAAGAGAACGGCGAAAGGGTGCCAAAACTCCGTATGGAAGTGTAGAAGAAGTCGCCTCACGAGTGTGCAAAGACATACGGGGAGATGAGGTACCGCTGACGTTACTGGAGGCATAACCGATAGAACTTGGGGGTGCCGGCCCAGTCCCACCTGAATTCGTCGGTGAAGGGCCACTGGTAGAGATTAGAAACGTCGGAGTGGACAAGGCTCCGGCTCCAAGGCCACAGCCAACTGTATATATATGTATGGGCAGGAAGGAGAAAAAGATAAAAATATAAACTAATATTCATAGTAAAAATTGATGTCAGAAAGCAATGGG